AAATTTTATCTTACAAGAAAAACTTGTTGAGATATTTTTTACCCTTGATCATGGTGTAAAATGTAGATTAAGGTTCATATTTCTTTTAATCTTGGATGATTTTTTTTTTAACCAGGTAAAAGATTGTATAGGTTATATGTTGTTTAATTAAGGTTTTAAAGGTGTTTTTTTTCATGTTTTTTGATAAAAATTAATGTTTCAGGTCTAAAATATTGAACCTGACTTTCCACTCATCTTAGATACCTAGAAACTAAATGATGCATTATCTATTTTTTTTATAAAAAAAATACCATCCGATCTTTTAAATAAAAACAATGGTTATGCACCCTAGCTTGACCTTGGTTATCATGGGTCAAGGGTGTTGGTTCATTCAAACCCAGTCATTTAATTTTTTTTGTCAAAGTCTTTATGTTTTATTTTTATATTCTCATTGAATTTTTATTAAAATAAATTAATAAAAAATAAATTAAGGGTATTATTTTATCAAATACAATACTATTTTTACTTGATTTTCAAATAATATCATGATTTTTTTTTAATAATGCATGGAGAGTTTTTTTTATGCCTCCTTTCTTGATTTATTTTCTTCTATTTATTGGCTTTACCATGCATGTCTATTTTTATCGTTGCATTGTTAGATAAAGAAAATAAACTAAAAAGTTCCCTGCCGCATCCTTCATGTAGTATATTATTCTTATATTTTTTTAATATATTTTCATGAATATTATTAATTTTTTTATTAAAGCTTATTTTCACGACTACAATAAGCTCTTGTTAAAATAAATATTCAGGTAAAAAAATAGAAAAGATACTAATAAAACAAACAAGCTTCAGTTAAATAAATATTTTTTTTTCAAATCATTTAAAGTTTTTTATGTTTATTCTAATTACTTTCTGTTTTTATCAAGTAAACACGTAGCATATATATATATATATCTTTATAGAAAGATAGATTAATAAAAATGAAAAGAATTATATCATTAAATTATTTTGTTTCTAGGTAATTTAAATTATTTTTTTTCTTGTAAGAATTATTGGCATGTAATTAAATAAAAAAATTGAGTAGTTCTCTTAAGATTAAATATTTTAATCAATATGTATGCTTGATTTGACCATTAATTAACACTAGTAGTTCTTTTAATATTTATTTATACATATAATTAATGATTCATTTAATTAAATATCCATGTCAACTTTTCATTTAACAATTAGTAATTTGACTTGTTACATAATTAATTCTTCTCGTGAGTGTGACTACAGTTATTAATAATCGACCTCGTAGGCATTATTCCCCCAGCAATCCGCTTGAATTTATCAAACTATGCAGTGATTAAAAAATATTAGATTGAAGAAATCGTCCAAGAAATAAATAGAATACGGGGTACAAAGTTAGACTTTAGCTTATTTACTTACGAGTGTGATTATAGTTTTTTTAAAATATATGTGAATAATTGTTTTTTTTTTAAATTATTTTTAATATCCGTACATCAAAATAAAAAAATAATTTTTTAAATTTTTTTTTAATAATTTTAAAACACAAAAATAAATATACTTTAAATAACATGACCAAATTAATCTAAAAAAATACCAATTGTTTTGGATTCTATACTTATCAAGTATGTAAGGTGATGAGTTTTGCTCTTCCTATTTTTTTAAAATAAATGTTTGTTCTTTAAAAAATATTAAAAAAACTATAAAAAAACTATTCCAATATAATCTTTTTAAAATATTTTACAACAAGCATCATCAATCACACAATTAAAAATCAGAAAAAGTTCTTAATTCAGTGAGGTCCCAGCACACCAATCTTGTTAATTTATTGAATATCCCACCTAACAAATTGACAATCACCAAACTAATTCCATCATGATATTATTATTGTTAGTTAAGCAAGCGTTCTTGATTAAATGGCACCTTCCACCAGATTCTGTTGAGCTTGGAATAAATGGCCATCACCAGTGACAAGCTGCTTGTGATGTATTTATTGCTTTTCATCTATTTGAAGCTCCTAATCCTGCAGAAAGGAGAACGACGAGTTTCAGAGTGTATGAACATAAGATTTAATATTTTTACTCGAGAGGGAGATCTGTGAGTTTTCCTTCACCACGCACGTCACAACTAATCAAACTTATTCCCAGTGAATTGGAAAAAAAAAACATTAATTTGATTTTTTCGTGCTAATTATTGAGTTTTTATTGGGTTAATTTTATGCTTACCTTATGTCCTAATTAATTCTTCGACCGAGTCACACTTTACTTGTATAGAACGCTTTACAGCTATTTAATAGAAACTTCTTTTTTAAAAAAAATTATAATACAAGTAATTACATACTTTTTTGGTTTTTTTATGATCCAAGACGTTCGGTCAATTTATATATAATTAATCTTTGAATCCATAAAATATTCTACAGGTCTAATAATTAAGTAAAGTATTGTAAAAATAACAGGTATACTAAAATTTGAATCCAAAATGCAAAGATAGAAAAACTCTGCCAGGATCGCTGTGCTCCGAGCCTCGGTGCAGGTTAATTGCATTTTTTTTATATATAAATTAATGTGGATATTCGAGCTAGCTTGCGCACACCATCACTAATCCCACGAGCCTGACAGAGAACACTGCTGTCTTTTACATTAATATACGTTTACAAGGACGTCATCGTCTTGAACCAGGTTCGCGGTTTCGAGTTCGGATCCTTGTATGGAAATCGGAGAGAGATGCCGAGATACACACTTGCTATTTTTTCAAAAATGAAATTATTGAGTGGATTCGAGTCCAGAACCTCAAATTGAATGTATCTTTTGTCTTGGGCGCCGTAGCAATGAAAATTTAATTTTTATTTATTTATTTATTATGGTTATGAATCATTTTAATATACTAATATTAATAATAAAATTTGAAATAAAAAAATATTATTTTAATATATTTTAAAATAAAAAATATTTTACAAAATAATTACTACTATACTACCGTGTATTTTAAAATTACCAACTTCAGCCTATATGTAGAAAGCCAAAAGGCAATCTTTTTTTTTTTTTTCAGGATGAAATACCTTTTATTAAACAATATATTATACACACGCATGCTTTTGAAAGTCTAAGATGATATGTCTATAAAATGCCAAGGGATTCTGGTATTATTAAGTCCAGGTAAAATGAGTTTGACTTATTTACAAGTTTAATATTTTAAGTTTAGTTATACCTTGAATCAGAATATATGTGAGTCTTTTGAGATGTGAGGCCTAATACTCTTCAATTTAACTATATATTAAATTCATATTTATATGGGTTTGATGAAACACTAAACCTAATATCTTTATATTCAATTATACGTTGTACCATTTGTGATGAGCTCAAATATACATGAATGCACGCGAGATGCTAGATCAAGTATCTTTGAGTTTAGTTATATGTCAAGCCCAAATACATGCAGGCTTGTCAAGATGTTAGACTTAACATCCCTAAGTTTAATTATGCGTTGAACTCAAGTGCACGTGGGTTTAGTATGCTATCATACCCATTCCTTTTGGGTCTAAAATCATTTTAAATCTAAATATATACAATATTGATAATTTTTTTTGGCTCCATACTAGATCATGAGGATTTGCTGTTTATATATATTTTAACATTCATAAATATTGTATAAGAAATATTTATCTTTTATTAATATTATTAATAAAAAACAATGTTTCAATCTCTTTATTCAAATAACATGATAAAATTCAAATGCTAAATATATTTTTTAAAATGATTCATACTTTTTATATTATTTAAATATTTATACTCTATTTTTTTAAGCATTTATTACACATAATTTTTTTTTTGTTTTTACTTGGATATCCTCACACTCTTTTTAAAGAGTGAAACTAGCCCCATTCGGAGTTTGTGGTTACCTCTCTCAATAAATACTATTCCCGGTAATTAAATTTGTATTCTCACTCTTATAAGTAATGCTTTAATCGCTAGACCAATACTTTATTAATATTTATTACAGATAACAAAGAATAAAAAATTTTAATTTTAAAATTTAAAACTTTTTTTATATTTATTATAGTTTTTTTTTATTAAAAATCACTGATTTTATTGTTTTTTTTTTTTATTAAAAATCACTGATTTTATTATTATAGAATCTCTAAATTGCACAAAAATTATCAACTCCATAAACCATGAAAAAAAAAAATCAATATAAACATTTGATCATTCTTTCTCCGAACACTCATTCATGAATATATAGGCTCACTGTCTCGTTATAATTGCATCGTATAATTGATGGATTTTAAAGATTTAAAACTAGATTTTATTACTTCTCGGGAAGCAATATCATGCCTGTAATGGTTGAAATAAGTTTGGCATGATAAATTGACACAGAAGATTTTAAATTAAAATACTAATTCGAACAAGATATCAATTTAATAAAACCCAGGACCTAGCTAAGTTTTTTTTTTTAATGTAATTAACTTAGTTAAATCCAATTTAAGCTTAACTGGGTAAATAATTAAAAAAAACTTTTAAATATTATTTTTAAAAGATAATCGATGCCATAACTTGCTAGCTACCCTAATAATTCACCCCTCCCATGAAGCCCCGGGGATAAGCATCCTGTAATGCCAGCCAAGTTGCTTGCAGAGTGGTTCTCACCAACCTGGTCTACTTTCCAAAAGCACAAGAAAATAATAATTTCCATAGACAGCAAAGTTGGTAACGCAGGGTGAGCCGATTGACCGGTGGCATCGCTGTTGGTTGACGTGGCAACGAAGAAATGATATGCTTTTAAAAGTAGTTTTTGTTTTAAAATGTAATGATATATATATATATATATATTTTTTTTTTTTTCAACATTAGTGTATTAAAACAATTTAAAAGTATAAAAATAATAATTTAAAACAAATATTATTCTTAAAAATAACGAAATATTGGTTCAACCACGCTAAGCCAGAATAATCAAACACCATTAGGCGGGGGTTGGTGGAAATGTTTCCATGGAGAAACAGGCACCTTACGGGATCACTATAAGTGGCCCTTCAACATCCTTACACCAACTCCACTGACACCGTTCACATTTTAGATTTTATCTCTCCTTTTCTGCTTCCTAGCCTCTCAAAGGTACGCTAGCTCTTCTTGTCGTTTTTCTTGATTAATTCTTGTGAATCTAGCTCTGTCTCTTCTTAATCTTTTTTGGTTTTTAAGCAATTAGACAAGGTATTTTAAGCTCGTAATTAGACTGATAAATGCACGAGTTAATGACTTATGTAACTCCTTGTGTCTCTTGGAGGAGTTTCACAGGCCTTGGTGGTTTGTAACTCTTTTACCTGTGTCCTTAAATGATTTGTGTTAGGGAAGGGTTAGGGTGGAAGGATGAGAGAAATCTAACTGGGAAAGGTTTGGAAACATTGATTCTGTGTTTTAAATGATGGTGATAGATATATTTGCTGTTCTTTTTGTGTTGGCTCAGCAGTAATGTTGATGGAGTCATTTTTACAATTTAAGATTTAAGAAGGGCAAAGGGCCTTTTTTTTTTTTTTTTCTTCATGTTGTTTTTTGATGTCTCGGATATAATTCCACAACAAAAAGATTTCATTTCCATTATTTATCAATGCCAGCCGCTGCATATAACTGTGCAACCCACAGAGAAACTTTGGGTCCACAAACAGTTGGGGGCTGGAAAGGGCAACAGTCATCATTCAGAGAACACCCACTATAAATTTTATAACAATTTGCCTTTCAAACTGCAGAGAACTTGGTTTGGGAGTGGGATAGATAGAGCATTTGGGTGGAGAAAGATGATAATCAACGTGAAAGAGTCAACCATGGTGCAGCCGGCGGAGGAGACGCCCCGGAGGGGGCTGTGGAATTCTAATGTGGACTTGGTGGTACCAAGGTTCCACACCCCAAGTGTCTATTTTTATAGGCCCACAGGTGCCCCAAACTTCTTTGATGCAAAAGTGCTCAAAGGGGCTTTGAGTAAGGCCCTTGTGCCGTTCTACCCCATGGCAGGACGGTTACGTAGAGATGAGGATGGTCGCATTGAAATTAATTGCAATGCTGAGGGAGTGTTGTTTGTTGAGGCTGAGACCACCTCAGTTATAGATGATTTTGCTGATTTTGCACCCACTTCGGAGCTCAAGCAGCTCATACCTACTGTGGATTACTCTGGCGGGATATCTACTTATGCACTTTTGGTTCTGCAGGTATGCGTCTTCCATTTCTATTTTTCATCTAATTTGGGACTTATTTATGTTTTGAACTATGGAGCCACTGTGCAAGTGATTTATTTTTGACTTTGAATATTTTGCATAAATTGCGGCGAAGTTTACCTCTTAAAATTCTCCTTTTCAAGGCCTGATTTCTTATGAAGCCATGAATATACATGTCCTTTAAAGCTGCACAGTTGAGTCAATTCAACTCAACTGAGAAGTTTCCATGGCGGCAGGATGAAAAATCTGCATATAAGACCGATCTGCTGTGAACTGAAAACCTCAAGTCACCCAGTGGCTTTTGATTGTCACTTTATTTAAGCCAGGAATAAAATGCCAGGTCATGGTATCCTGAGGCAAAGGAGCAGTTGTTTTTATTCTAGTTTTTATGATTTCGATATTACATGGAAACAAATTTTGTTTCCATACAATAACAACAATAACCACCCTGAAATTCTAATGTCTAGAAGTCTCTACAAGAAGACTGAAAGATAGCATAGAGTAAGGTTGATTGGCGAGTTTATGATCGAGGGAAGTGGTTAGTACAGTACACCAAACTTCAGTTGTCTGTAGCCGTATTGAGATCATATCACCTACTAGTTTAATGCACACCAGCTGTCCCAACTCGATAAATAAGTGCTTGATAGATGACTTGAGAGACATTAATTGGTAGCCTAACCTTTGGCTGGCTTAGTATACATTTTGATGTAACCTCATAAGGATTAGATGTGACAGATAGTGCATCACACATGGGATTATCAGCTGGGATGGTCGGGACAGAGTACTGAGGTGATGGTAAACAACCACACATTTGCTTGATAGGATCCCCACAGAAATAAATCGGTGGGAACTTTCAGAGTTATTATCACATGACCTTAGTCCACTCGTGCATCGATGCTATGTTGGTGTAATCACTCACTCCATGATTTGAAGTGAGCAATTCTGGTAATTGTACTTCATTTTGCCATGCACCTGGATACTGAGAAGATGTGTCATCTGAAAGGTCTAAAATATAAGAAATCAAAGGGAGGTGGTTGAGAAAATTTCCACTCAAGAGAGCTGGTCAAGTCTGACCGTTGTTTTTTTATTTATTTATTTATTTTTGGTGTTGAATATATAGACTCAGTATGCAGAAATTTGGTTTAGCTGTGTTGAATATACAGACTCAGTATGCAGAAATTTGGTTTAGCTTGGTAACGTTATGCTCATCTATCTCTAGTGGTTTATGGGCTTCGTTTTTCCAAACAAACATGAATGCGTGCTCTGTTTCCGTGGTTTTTGGAAAATCTTTTTTATCATTGAACTTAGATGAAATTTACCTTATGTATCCACGATTATCCACTAATTGAGCATAATAAATGAAGAAGACGTTGCTGTTTTATACTTTGCAATTGATAAAGACTGACTCCAGGCAGAATTGACAGGCCAACTTACAACATGTGCAGAAATTAGCAAGCAGATTCAACTTCTGGATGGCATACTTTTTGAAGCTACTGAATGCACTTAAGATATTTTAGAATAATTAACTCGCGTTTTCTTTTTTGGAATAAAGAATTTTGCATGTAATAGAAATCTCCTGCATTTATTCTGATACTTAATTAGACAAGTCCACCAATCACTTAATTCCAGATTGAGGTGGTGCTATTATGAGCTCACTATAAGCATGATTTTGGTTATTCTCTGCAGGTGACTTATTTCAAATGCGGAGGAGTTTCACTTGGTGTTGGTATGCAACACCATGCAGCGGATGGGTTTTCTGGTCTTCACTTCGTGAACACATGGTCAGATATGGCTCGTGGACTTGACCTTACCATTCCACCCTTCATTGACAGGACCCTTCTCCGTGCTAGAGATCCACCTCAACCTGCATTCTACCACGTTGAGTACCAGCCTCCACCGTCCATGAAAACCGTTCTTGAAACCTCAAAACCAGAGAGCACGGCAGTCTCCATTTTTAAGTTGTCTAGGGATCAGCTCAGCACCCTCAAAGCCAAAGCAAATGAAGATGGAAACAATATTAGTTATAGTTCATATGAGATGTTGGCGGCTCATGTGTGGAGATCAACATGCAAAGCACGTGAACTTCCTGATGATCAAGAGACCAAGTTATATATTGCCACAGATGGTCGGTCAAGATGGCAACCTCAACTCCCTCCTGGTTACTTTGGCAATGTGATCTTTACAGCAACACCAATTGCGGTAGCTGGTGAAATGCAATCAAAGCCAACATGTTATGCTGCAGGAAAAATTCATGATGCATTGGTGCGCATGGATAACGATTATTTAAAGTCAGCTCTTGATTATCTAGAGCTTCAGCCTGACTTGTCAGCCCTTGTTCGTGGTGCCCATAGTTTCCGGTGCCCAAATCTTGGGATTACTAGCTGGGTTAGATTGCCAATCCACGATGCAGATTTTGGCTGGGGCAGACCCATATTCATGGGGCCTGGTGGGATCGCATACGAGGGCTTGTCATTCATCTTACCCAGCCCAACAAATGATGGGAGCATGTCAGTTGCCATATCTTTGCAAGCTCAACATATGAAACTATTTGAGAAGTTCATATATGACATTTAACTGAATAAGCCAAGGCTAGCATCCTCTCGTGGTTTTCGTCGTCCTGTCAGTAAAACCAGGCCGGGAAAATTCAGTATACCATTTTTTCTCTTGTTGGCCATGTATCTTTCTCAGTATTTTTTTCACGCATGGTTTGATGTAACAAGACTATTTCAAAGGATAATACCCTCCTGACCGAGGGCTTATGTTGTGAACATATCAAGACTCTTTGAGAAGCAGAACTGTATTCAACCTAATTTGATGTAATAAGTGAGATGGTTGCATGCCACAGCATCAATTGGAAACTAGTTGGTTGATACATTAATGACAGTGGCAACCACGTTTCGACATTACGTAAGGGGATTGCGAGCTGTCTGAGCTGTTTGCACGTTTGTGGTCTCTTTTGCCGTAGCATTTAAAGATCATATATCCGCCAAAGCTTTTGGTTTTTGAACCATTTGCCTCTTGTCACCTGCTAGAGTCGGGCATTTGTTTTGGTCTGGTACTGTTTCAAGTATATTTCAATGGCAAAACTGTTGACCTCTTCTGTTTGTTTTGTTTCTCTAATTGAATATATCGATTACAAACAACACATGGAGGAAAGCTGGCCGATGCGCCAGTACAAGCTCAGTACTGAGATGGTCAAACATGATGGTGAAAGATAATTCTAGGACAGTCATTGACAAAGACAACACTTGATCGTTTGTCATGCTACATGAAAAATAATTATGCTGAAAGAAATACCACAAAACCACAAAATCAATACCAGGAACCAGAGAAAGGGGGAACGAGGGGCCGTAATCAAACAAGAATTTCCATGTACTTCAAGGATGCCTGTAAAGCTACCAAATGTAATTGGGAGTCGACTGAGAAATGAGGCATGAGGGGCCATAACTAAAGCAAGCTAGCTACCATAATCTTGGATCCGTAAATATGCCCAGTTTGTAAGATCTAGAGTGATAGAAAAGGAAATACGAGAATGAAAGCCAAGCTCACACACAACATGGTGGCTGTCACAAAGCTGCTAGCCTTTGCTGACAATAAGGCATCACTTCTTCCCCCGTGCTTAGGCCGATGGATACTATTTGCACCACCATAAGCTCCCTTTCCTTTCCGTCCCTTTATTGAGTGAAAAATCTGATGCTTTCCCTTGTATTCTCTTCTTTCACCTTCTCGAGGCAAACCGATCTTGCCTTCTAGATCTGCAGGTGCAATAAGTCTAGAAAATTAGTGTCCCTGGCCTAAAAGAGGAAAGCAGCAGATTTGAACTACCATAAACGAAAACGAGTTCCAACCGTGAACTTGTCCTGGCATAGGAGGTTCTGGCTTGTCGAAATCTTCATGTTGTGGAGTGGATGTAACTCGATGAAGGGCCATGCTACAAAAGATGGAGAAGGTCCAAGCTAGAAACTTAACCTTCATTTTTCTTTTCCTCAATTTCTCTTCCTTTCTTTTTGAAATGCTTTAGGAGGGGGAGGATGGCTTGGAGGTAGAGGTTACCTGTTTTGATAGGCAAAAGAGGCTATATAGATGATAGGGTTGAAGGCTCCAGGGAGAGGGTTCCATGGGCCTAAATGCGAGTACTTGGGTGTGTACTTGTAATACGAACATTGCCTAAATGTTTTTTCCGGCCATTAAACTTAGACAAAATAAACAAATAGGAAATGCGAGTACTTGGGTGTGTACTTGTAATACGAACATTGCCTAAATGTTTTTTCCGGCCATTAAACTTTTTATATGTGCAATTTCATCCACTCAAGCTATGCTAGCATGGTCTTATATGCCGAAATTTCTTTCAATTTGCATGCTCTTTTAGTCATACTAGAAGTGTTTGTTTTTCTTTAAAATAGTTTTTTAAAAATTATTTTAAAATTTTTTTTATATTTATTTATTATTAAAAAAATTGGTCAATAAAAATATTTTTTAATAAAAAAATATCTTGATTTTCAGAAAAATATTTTCATTTTATTTTAGATAGAAAATACTTTTTAAAAATTATAAAAAATTTAGAAATATCATATTATTTCCTAATTATATCAAATTTGATTCTCAAACTTTTGATTGATATATATTTTGTTTGATTTTTTTTTATTTTCATCCCTTAAAATTTAATTTAATTTAATTTTTATATTAACTTTGATCCTTATTTTTATAATTGTTATTGACTTTTATCTTATTTTTTTAATTAAAATTTTTTATCTATCAAATTTGGTCCTTATTATTTTAATTGTTACTTATTTTATTTGAAATAATTTATGAAATTATAATTATAATTATTTTAATTTCATCATCTTTTAATTTTTTTAATTGTTAGATTTGATCTCTATTAATTTAATTATTATTTATTTTATTTCAAATAATTTAAAAAATTAATTTTTTAATTTTATTCTCATTTAATCTTTTAATTTGTAAGATTTATTCTTCATTATTTTAATAAACTTGAAAAAAATAAAACATTAATAAACTATTTTTCAACTTATTTTCTACAACATAAATAAACACTCCAAAGTGTTCTCCAATTTATTTTCTATGACATTAGCAAATATAAAAAAATAATTTATTTTCTAAGAATTTACTTTTCAAGAAAATCACTTTTTTTAAAAAAATTACTTTTTAGCATACAAATGAGACCTAAGACTGCATTTGTTTTCCGTTAGCTTTCACGTTAGCGGTGGAACAAACACAATAGCATGTTTTGTATAATATAAAATTGAGTTTTATGTCGTAGAATCCATTAAAAAATTAAGTTTAAAAGGTAGGTTTTGTGTAATAATTTTTACATGTTTTTTTAGGCGAGTTTCATAAATATTTCTTATCAATCTTTTTTTACTGTTTGTAAATAAATCAAAATACTTTTTATATATTTTTTGCTATATATAAACTTTAACTATAGTTTTTATGAAATATATATTTAAATCCAACTAATTACTGCTAAAATTACTTTTTTTTTAATTAAATTTTTTTTTCACATAATATTTATAAAAACTATTTAAAAAATAAACACGTTTTAAATGAATAGAGAAGAGCTCTCTCTCTCTAGTTTTGCATCTATCGGTGGCTTTTTATTTCTTCTTTATTCCCCCCCAAGAATCCCAAATCCAGCAGTCTTTTTGTAAGATCTGATATATATTCTTTTTTATACATTTATTCAATTTATTTAGCGCTTGTTTAGTTAAATTTTACTTAGATTAAACAAGGGCCCATGCAAAGCAGGATGGTGAGGTGAGGTGAGGTGGGGATGCTCATCAAGTGGTAGCGTTAGATCCCTGGAATGGAATAGCACCGCATTTTTTCGGTGCTCTTCATTAATTTTATAAAGAATCTCAGTTTTATTCTTATTTTTACCACCTAATTCTCCTCATTATCATAATTATTCTCATAAGAAAATCACAATAAAATACCACGCAAGATTGAAAAATCATAAATTATTTAATGTAAATTAAATATATTTTTTAAAATATTCTTATCGTGCTACCATCTTCATTGATTATTCCATGCCTGTAAAGTATAATAATAGGGTTTGATCAGATACCATTTAGCTACTCCAAATACCGATAAGCACAGCCTAATAGAGCGTTCCCGAACACTAATAACATCCCCTGACAGAGCTTGATGAATAAAGAAGCAGGGGAATTGGATGCCCACTTTTTCTTTACTTTCGACTGAGAAAGTTACTTTCATTCATGAGCAATCTTCATTTTACTTTAGAAAATTACTTTTTCTCTCAAAAGAATTATTCATATATATATATTCAGAACATTTTGCATCAATTTTGGAACACTGCTGATAGAACACCTTTATGATAGAATCCTTCTGTGCACCGAAACTCCACCTGTATCATCAGCCCTTAATTTCATCAGACAATACCCTGAAAAGCATCAAACAAGCTGTATGTTTTATGTTCACACAACGTTAAAACCAGGAGAACTATGCATGGAATTAATCAGTGAAGAAAAAAACCAACAGAGAATAACGAAAGCATAGCTCCAAGCTAGAATATTAGAAGGCGCAAAATGACAGAGACTGAAGTTCAAGCCTCATCATTCAATCTTATAATTGACCAGCACCACCTCCAAACTAGCCTTTGCCACCAGCAGCTTGCTTTGAAATGATTGGATTCCACATACCCTCCATCTCGTTGATTTTGTCATTTATTTGATCAAAGCAGGTTGCCATAGTTTACAGGTTGAAATCAAGAATTTGGATGCTTTGCTGTATTTTTTGTATGATTGAAATGATTTTCAGGATGCCATATCCATATAAACATGTATGTATGTAGGTATGAAGGGCGTCTTGATCCAATCAAAGAAGGAGCAGCATTAGAAAGTTTATCACGACTGGGTTCAACCATTAGGCAGCTTGGACAATTTTGGTTCAAATATTGGATAGTTTAGAGCTCGGACGACACAGAATTGGATTCCTCTCTCTCAGGCTTTAAGAGTTTCAAGTCAGACCCGATTCCTGACAGAATTCCCAAGCAGCTGTTGATATATAAAGATTTGATACTTGCATTTTTACAAGTGTTTTGGTATAATCTCTTAGTAGTTGACAGAAGGCCAATCTTTCTGCTGCTGGGAGCCAACTATAAGAGATTAATGAAAAAGAAAATGAAAAGAAGTGGGAATGGATAATTAAACAACTCCTGGCATTTCATCAAACATCTAAATACACATCATTGATTCCACTGCATGATTTTTCACAACATTAATACTTAAGCATGCCTAATTCGAATCACTCGAGCACATTCAAGGACAGAGTTACAGGAGCTGATAAAAATATAACATTTAAAATGAGTATTTTCAAGCCCTAATCAACCTCCTCAATCTTAGGCCCGGCTCCAGAACCACCAGAGCTAGCCTTGCTGTATCCACCTCCTGGCATCTGGGCACCACCACCCATTGGCACATCACCGCCAGCTCCTTGATACATCTTTGAAATGATTGGATTGCATAAGCCCTCCAACTCCTTCAACTTGTCCTCAAATTCATCTACTTCTGCCAATTGGTTCCTGTCTAGCCAGTTAATTGTCTCCTCAATCTCCTTCTCAATCTTCTGCCTGTCGGCCGGGTCCAACTTACCACCAACCTTGTCATCTCTCATTGTATTCCTCATATTGTAAGCGTAGTTCTCCAGGGCATTCTTGGCCTCCACCTTCTTCTTCACTTTCTCATCCTCTGCTTTGTATCTCTCTGCCTCTTGCACCATTCTCTCAATATCATCCTTGCCCAGTCTTCCCTTGTCATTGGTGATGGTAATCTTATTCTTCACTCCTGAAGCCTTATCTTCTGCAGAAACATTCAAGATGCCATTTGCATCGATGTCGAAGCATACATTGATCTGCGGAACCCCTCTAGGCGCTGGAGGGATTCCTTTAAGCTCAAATGTGCCAAGAAGATTGTTGTCCTTGGTTTGAGCCCTTTCACCTTCATACACTTGAATTAGCACACTGGTTTGGTTATCAGAGTAAGTACTGAAGACTTGCTCTTTCTTGGTGGGAATTGTTGTGTTTCTTGGAATCAAGACTGTCATCACACCACCAGCAGTCTCAATGCCAACGCTAAGAGGAGTGACATCAAGGAGAAGTAAATCTTGAACCTTCTCATTCCCTTCTCCACTCAATATTGCAGCTTGGACGGCAGCTCCATAAGCTACAGCCTCGTCAGGGTTTATGCTCTTGCAGAGTTCCTTACCATTGAAGAAATCTTGCAGAAGTTGTTGCACTTTGGGAATCCTTGTTGATCCCCCAACAAGAACAATTTCATGAACGTGGCTCTTATCAATCTTTGCATCACGGAGACACTTCTCCACAGGTTCCATGCATCTTCTAAATAAATCCATGTTCATTTCTTCGAATCTTGCTCTTGTGATTGTAGAATAGAAATCAATACCTTCATAGAGAGAATCAATCTCAATAGTTGTCTGAGTGGTCGAAGACAAAGTCCTCTTTGCCCTCTCACAGGCAGTCCTCAACCTTCTCAGAGCTCTGGCATTGGCACTAATATCCTTCTTGTGCTTCCTCCTGAACTCTGCAACAAAATGATTAACAAGCCTATTATCAAAATCCTCACCTCCAAGATGAGTATCACCAGCAGTAGCTTTCACTTCAAAAATCCCCTCCTCAATTGTCAACAAAGAAACATCAAAAGTTCCACCACCAAGATCGAAAATAAGCACATTATGCTCGCCACTCTTCGACGCCTTCTTATCCAAACCATAAGCAATGGCAGCAGCAGTTGGCTCATTAATAATCCTCAAAACATTCAGACCTGCAATAGCTCCAGCATCCTTTGTAGCCTGCCTTTGTGAGTCATTGAAATAAGCAGGCACAGTAACCACAGCATTATTCACAGCATGACCAAGATAAGCCTCAGCAATCTCCTTCATCTTGGTTAACACCATTGAAGAGATTTCTTCGGCTGAAAACCTCTTCTCTTCACCTTTATACTGCACCACAATCATAGGCTTGTCAGCAGGGCCTGGAACCACCTTGAAAGGCCAGTGCTTCATGTCACTCTGAACTGAAGGGTCAGAGAAACGCCTGCCAATAAGTCTTTTCGCATCAAAA